GATTAGTGTCTTTAACTCAGATGGCTGTATTAAAAGCAGTTGGGTGGAGCTGTGATCGTATCAGGTAAAGATACTTAAGTCATCTCCTCTCTTCAGAATTTCGAACTTTTAAATTCTAAAAGATATTCTTTTCAAGGGTTAATCAACACCAAATTCTCCAATCACTAATTGAAGTTTTCAACTTTCAATACCCATCACGTCATTCAAAACTTTTTGAAACAAATTTCCATAACCGATAATTGTTTTCCTAGAAACAAAATGGAAAATAATAACAATAATGCCAAAGGCCAACCTCTCCAAGCACACCAGCACTTTGTCGAGAGACAAGCTGGTATTGCTCAACAGAAGAATCCGCCAGCTGAAATATTAGAGTGGTTGGACGAGCAGCAGAGACAAATGGCTCAGCATCAAGAGCCCGCCCAGCAGAGACAGCTCCCTAAGCAGACGAGAGCTCAGGAGGTGATCGCCGCAAAGCAAGCCATCAAGAAGCGAGCTTTAGAGTTCGACTACTCCGTGCTTCCCCAACATCCCAATTTGATGATCGAGAAGACCCAAAAGGATGTCCACATGGTTATCAACCTTGATTTCTTTCAGTCAATTTCAGCACCCAGCATGGAATCCCGTGAGTATAATCCGTTTTCTTACTTCCAATTCCTCAATCCCAAACCTCTATCTCATGTTTCATCTTCTGTGTCCTCTTTCCACTTGGTAATGCAGCTTTACATCCTCATTTTCCCGGATATATCTATTTGATAGCCAGTTATTAACTCTTCAATATTTTAGTCCTAGCTGCTATTCCTAAATACGCTGCGATCATTCCCTACTTGAGAGTTACAATCCTCATCAAAGCCCCTGGACTTCACTATAATATAGCCACCTACAATGCCAGAGTCAAAAACATCATGAAGTTGATTGACATTATCAATAACTTCTGGTTGTCTAAACTAGAAGTCGTTGCGTTTCTTGACAGCCACAATAATTTTGCGCAGCTCAAACTTGCTGCGGGTGCCTACGGCTTGAATTTTCAAAACTGGAAATTGGCATATAAGGTTCCAGGTATCGATATTAAATGGCAGGTTCAAATTGGCAGCGTCTATGAGCGTAGACTTCGCGGGGTGTATAAGACTGAGTTTTTGACTCAGCACTAAAGTTATCGATGGGAGTTGGGGGATCTCGGGAGTCGTGGTTGATGTATTTATTGTGGCGGGGGCCATGGCAGGCGGTGACTTTTGATTGGGTATTTGCTATCGGTGTTGGGGAGTAACATAGTTTGATGCCTATGGGGCAATACAAATGGTATGGGGGAATTTTGGTTGAGCAATGATGCGATCGTAGGAGCGGCTCAAGTTTTCTGCGATAGAGCATCAAGAAAATGAAAAATAATCAGCCACAAAACTCAATGTTCCACTAATAACTGTGCTAATGAGTGAGAATTGCAATCCTATCAAGCCCCAATGAAACAAGATGACCGATGATACTTCTCACCTGGCCGTCTCTTCACGTGACTTTAGCAGGTATGGGCAAAGAAGTCGGAAGAATGAACTGTAATTCGATAGAGTTAGTGTTTGAAACAGGTCTTGTAAGAAGAAAACGCAGCAAAAGAAGTGATGAAGGAACACCTTCTAGATATTGTACGTATATTGCGCTGTTGGCTGATATCGTCGACCGGAAATCACTCACAACGTTGATAATTTTGTCTCCCTCCATGTGAAAATTGGTAGAAGGAAGACATCACAATCTCGTTACATTCACATTGTGGAGACAATACTAATTCCTAAACTTGAAGATCTGGGAAGTGCTAGACAGGAAGGATGCAATCTCATGTCGACAGTCCAGAGTAGTCCTCAAGGGATTGTATAGAGTAAGGTTATATGGTATTCTCAAACCGAAAATCTATTGGGATGATTGTGGATAACTTATTGAAGACTTTTCTTATAATTGCTAGAAAGAGCAGGATTCGGGGTTTCAACAGTGAACACTGCAAGTTAGTGATGAGATGGTTGCGTTTGACAGATTTCATGGAATAAAATTTGATGGCTAAGATGTTGTCACGTGAGGTATTATTTTGGTCACCAGCCCTTCCATGGCAGGTTTCATAAACTGTATGAGGCTTTATTCCGAATCTATCCACAAGATTCTGTTATTCTGATTTTTTGCAAAAAGTCATGGGAGGGCCAATTGTCCTCAGATTTTTCAACTGCCCCATATTCTAGTCGAATGATCGAGTCCCCTTCGGATCGCGTTTGAGCCAAGAACTTTCCATTGGCATTTCAGTCGCAGAATAACGTATTATAGGCCCAGAAACTGCAAAAGGGCCAGGTTCTATGCAGAGAAAATGCTAGGTATAGAGTCCGAATGCTTGACATCTGGATTCTTGGACCTTCACATCTGAGGTTTACCAATCGTGTCCCAGATTAACGACTTTGCCTAGATGAAATATAATTCCTCAAGTCTCCAAGAAGGCGCTTGGGTGCTTAATGGATATCCGAAGATTTACCAACTCTTTAATACAAGCTTCAATCCATATACGATCATCATCGAAAGCTTTACTCTTCACCATGCCATCACGAAATCATGCGGACACCACAAGTGTAGACTCTCCTCAACCATACGCATACTGGGAATGTAGTTCCAAGGACCAAGAATCAGGTTGATATACTGACAGAAATCTATCAAATTCTACCTGCTAGAACTAGAACTATTGAGAAGTATGTTAAATTGGGTGTGGCGTGGCAAACCTCTACTTTGATAATTCTATATGCATTTAGCGGTATCATTTTGGCAATTTTACAACACCTTTACTATCAGAGACTATATGGAAAGCTTGCAGGATCATCAAACCGTCAACAGTGGACATTCAGAATCGAAATTGGATTTTAATTCCTCGTCGTTGCCCTTTTCAAGACTGCATGCGATCAAGCTTATACCCAACTGATCTGGATGCTTGTTAAAGAAAGATGCCTATTCGTTAGATGCCGTTGATAAATTGTTCTCCCTGACAATGGACTCATCTTGGGTTTCTATCGTGGGAACTGTACAAAACTGCCAAGCTGGCAATACTTTGGTCTATGATATGCTGGTATGTCTTTCAAGCATGGATGCCTTTTTATAATGGACCCACTAATCTTCCCTTCTAGGTACATATAGCTTACAGGTATAATTCCTCCCTCTGCTCTTTCTGTTGTACTAGCAGTGTACACGGAAATAATCTCTATGTCTTGGCCAGCGGTTTATTGGCGTTCAAAACAGTTCTCCAATATTCTCTTCAGCATCCCGAGTACTGGCAGTTTCACCGACTCCCCATGCACAAAATTCTTACAGACAGCACAAACTATAGAGGTCCTGATGATACCACCGCCAGCCATGAATTCATCATACATACAGACTTTCCATGGACCAACAGTACAATACTCATCTGCCAACAAAATCCAGCAATAATATTTCGATTACTATACAACAGCAATGCGAAATTCGACAAACCTTGTTGCAAACCAGAAAATATTTGAATCTGAACGACTAAAGATGCTTGTAGAGTCTGCTCGGAATTCTACGTTTTTAATTACAATGGCATTGCACATAATTAGTAATTCTTTGATGGCAGTGTTCGCTACGACTAGGAATCCCGACTTTCACAATTTATCTAGAGGAAACTCTTTGGGAGTGTTGCTCATGAATAATTATATATTAGATATGAGGATCAAGTTTGGCGTGTTGCGTAAGAATTGGAATGGAATGGCAGATGATGCTCGACGCTGACCTATATCATGAGAGCCAGGTGTTCCGGACCGGTTACATTAGCTTTGGTCACGCGGAAGCTATTCGAAATATAATAAAAGGAGAAAGATATATTTGAGTGCAGATAACGGAACGAAAACCGATGGAACTATCTACGGAGATGAATTTTTTCCGAAATTCCTTAGCAGACTCGAATACTTTGAAGGATTCTCATGTTATCGAGATCAGCTTATTTGCATAATTACAAAGGCACTTAACGATGTTGATATAAATCATAAATCGCTTTCTTTTCGCTTCTAGTTTTACGAAAATAGACAGGATTGTCAGGAAATCCGACCGACTCGACTCAAACATTCTCTCAAGTTGGGTGTCAAGATAGTCGAACTAATTATTCTTTTAATTATTCTCCTACCATATGAGCAAAACAGGCGTTAGTAGAATTCCGCCTCAAGAAATTGTCCTTTGTGGAAAGTTCATGAATCCAGCCTTAAAAAATATATACACTTCATATTGCACAACGTGGACCTCTCTCATCATGGTAATTAAATTCTTTAATCAACAGAAAGTATTCGAATTAGCAGGCTGCGGATCAACAGTTCAGATTAATACAATTCTTATCCATATCTTTGCATACCATATTCAAATTCCAGCAATACGATACGAACTAAAACAAATCAAATCATCCATGAGTAAGATATGTGTAGTTGTGTAGTACCGCCAATTTCAGATTCTAGCCGAGTGTTGTACAGAATTTAGATGGATCTGAAAGAATCCGAACTGCTGACCTGACCGAATTACATGAAGCATCTTTCACTATGATGATCAGTAGTGTCCATGATGATATTGGATGTTTTCAGTGTTTGTTATTTTTGTAGAGTTTATATATAAATAAATCGATTTTCAAGAATATTTTCAGAAGCCAAAAAACCACTCAATTACTATCATGCGCCGTGTATAAATACTGTGTACACTTGACCAGCACAACCTACATCGTGTAAGAATATTCTTGGATATCCAGCCATCATGATGGAGACCTACTCCAAAGATTCCCAGGTTCATATATATATATACATACCCAATCTCCAATAAAACCATCCCAATTCACCCATAAAAAAATCGCACTCCCATTCCCCATCCAACAAACAAACCCCCTCCCCCAAAAGCGGGCCCCTCTATCTCCTCGCTAATCCCCATCCTCCAAAGTTCTATCATCCTCAAGAACAAATAAACCCACCAGATCAAAAGAAAAGCACCAATCAAAAAACATCTCGTTGGGCTAGTGGTCATGCCATCTGTCTCACAAAAAAAATCAAAAATTTCTCTGGATTTTTTCGTCGCGCACAGAAGATCGCAGGTTCAAACCCTGCACGGGATAGGTAGTTGCTATTATGTTAATAGTGAATTCATATATTTTTTTGGCTGTAAGTTTTTTGTCTGAGGGGAATTTAATGGAGACGATGTGGATGATGTGGACCTTGGGTGCTCTTTTTAGACGGGAGAGTTTGTTTTGTAACGTTTTTATGAGGAAGGAGCGGGCTTCGGGAGCGGGGCTGGGGAAGTTGAATGTATAAAATATTGGAAAGAACTATTTGGGAAGAAAGGAGGCAGAAACCTGGAGTAAGGATGATGAATGTGGAAGTCGAGACTGGCTTTCACTTTTAGATAGGTATTTCTCTGCGTATGAGAAGAAAACTTTACCTTTTTTCGTTCATAAATCTCATTATCGTCATCGAATAAGCATAATTTTATTGTCATGATCCAATGGCTTTGCTAGTTTTTGATTTTCAATGTTTCTATGAATTCTGGCTTATTTTGTTATTTTGAGACGGCAGGGAAGCTCGCAATATGTTTTATTTGCGACTCAGTTGTCACATTTTATATACACTTGGTGCAAAAGGTAGTTGATTTGCTTGCTACGATTTCTCCCTTCAAAGTTCTGTATTCTATGATACATCAAAGCTAAATCTTGATCAAGCCCTTTGAATACATGATTTCTCATGCATGTATTCATTTTCCTAGCAAATGGATCCGCAAAATCTCAAATCATCCTCACAGAATCATGCTCTTTGCTCCGGGAAATACTCACTCAATGCCCCGCTTCGAGGTTTGAATATGTACGCAAAAATTCTCAAATCTATCGATAGAGTTGGGGCACAGAATTAATTTTGGGGACTGAGACCTAATTTTAGCTGGAATTTGAGGAATACGTATTGGGTGCGCAGAGACTTGTGTATATAAGGCGAGGTTTCACAAAGCAACCAGCGAAAACTACACCCACCTTATAAAAGGCTGCTCAGTTATACAGGAGTGCTGGGAGCTGTTATATAGCAAACGGCTCAAAAGTAAACGGATATCTGGTCAAAAGTCTTGGTTATATTTCAAAATTCATACGTCTCAATTCACCATCGATCATTGATCTTCTTTTCATACAACGTCATTACTGTCACGCTTAATTCTCGCCACCAAAGACTTGCTTCTGTCGCCGTAGTTGGTATCATATTTGTCAAATATTTCGATATTGATATATAAATACTATCTAGTTTTTCAAGCTTTCTCACGCAAGTTACATCGGGCTATGTTGATTGATCCGCCCAGCTGTGAACAACAGCTCAGATCCTGATTGTGCGACGTGGATAGGATAGTTTGAAGGTCAAATAAGTATAAAATATTTCCAAGTTTATATATTTCCGCCGGAAGATATAGTCTCTGAGGTGAATACATTCAATTTATTGAAATCATTTATGCCTACTGCGGAGCGGCTTTCTCTTTGATTGGATATCTCATACCGAATCTGTACATGCTCTCCCCCCCCATTTTCTTCATATATCAAGCTATAATTAACGAGACTTGGAATAATAAGTAAGACATTCATCATAGAGAAGAGAGATTTAACTGATTGAAAGCAGTTATGATCAAAATTCTCTCCTCCCTTTTATCTCCATGACTCAAGACCAGGGCTGGGCAAAAGGTAGGGTTACCCGGGGTAAACCCGGGTAGAAATCGAAGGGTGACCACCCTGTTAGATCCCATAGGGTAGGGTGAAAACCCTATAGAATTTCGAAGGGTACGGGTATACCCGGCGGGTATAGTCACGTGGGATATCTCATTTTTTTGATTCCCAATACGGTCTAGCGGCTTGAATGTGACTAGAAAGTACCTTATGTGACCAAAAAGCATGTGACTAGAAAGCATGTGATCAGAAAGCATGTGATCAGAAATATGTGATTAGAAAACATGTGATTATCATTTTGATTCATTATATAGTTGGGAATAACCTCAACTTTAGACGACTATATAAGACGATCACATGATATATACCCGCGGGTCTACCCGTACCCGCGGGTTTCATAGGGTAATCACCCTGCAATATCCTACGGGGTAGGGTGACCATCCGTCGAGGGCAAATACCCCGGGTAGGGTACGGGTGCCCAGCCCTGCTCAAGACCAGGATTTTAATCTCTTACGCACGGCATTGGATACATTGCATTGCTGTCACTGATTAGGTCTTACTGTTTCCAACCCATTTCGTTTGTTGATAATAATTAGTAAAGCTGAGAGAGTTCACAATGCGAGATGTCTGTCTATGGGCAACCACTTTGTAATAGAAGCTGAAATGAATTTTTGTAAGACACACTGAGACCAGCGAACTCGCCCGCCTTGATCGTTGATATTGCATGCCACATTTTCCATAATACAATAATATAGTTTTGAGGCACTTTTATATATAGTGAGGGTATGGTGTAATCTTACTTCCAAATAAATCCTCGGAGATTGCCTCGACTTTACTCTACACCCAACCCATACATCCCCATTCAGTCTCTGCTCATTCACTATAATTTAGCAAAATTGCATCTCTATAATACAAAAGAAGATATTCTGCAACAAAAGTTCGCTTAGACTGCGCAACGGGGCCCCGCGGGGCGGGTATTGAAGCTGACGGATTCAAGTTATTTGCAAATAATCCACATGCAAAACAGGTAATGTTAAATTTCAATGAGTATTTTATGCTTCGTACAAGTTATTTGCAAATAATTTGTAAATAATTTATTTATTTGTAAATAAATGGGTTATTTGTATATTTGCAGATTATTTGCAAATTTGTGGATTATTTGTGGATCTTGTTTATTTTTTGAAATTATTTACAATTTTTATACTAATTTTTATACTAGTACTAATTTAATATATTTATATTATTTATTAATCGTATATCCTGGGATGACCAGTAATACGGTAGGAAGGAAGTACTAGGGTAGAATTATAGTAGATTGATTTGACTTAGAAGTATGTATTTGGTGGCAGCCCAGCTGCCCTTATATGCTACTCCCCCATACCCTATGCGGTATAGCTTACCACGTGATCCCTGATCATGTGACCGGAAACCATGTGACCTGATTCCTCAATATTATTTATAATTTTTATATTAATTTTTATATTAATTTTTATATTAATTTTTATATTAATTTTTATATTAATTTTTATATTAATTTTTATATTAATTTTTATATTAATTTTTATATTAATTTTTATATTAATTTTTATATTAATTTTTATATTAATTTTTATATTAATTTTTATATTAATTTTTATATTAATTTTTATATTATATTTATGAATATTTATGATATTTATGAATTATTTATGAAACCCGTGGGGTGTAGGTTATTTGCAAATAATTTGCAAATAACCTGTACGGGGCGGGTATTTTTTGCGCAGTCTAAGTTCGCTAACTTACAACCACCATATGCCATTATAGCTCTAAGATATCAGGCATCAAGATACTAGAAACTTTTAGCAGTAGACATCTACGTAGCTACAATCTCTTCCGAAGTTTAGGATAAAGATTCGACACTTGTTTTTTATCTACTATCTACTATCTACAATACATACAATCATTGCCAAAGAAACCAGGAATTTCGTCGACTATTGACTTAGGGATTGCCAAAACCGGAAGTTCCTCCTGTTATCGTTTTATCTATCAATATAATTCAACCAGTTTCTGATTACAGTACTATGGAGGCAAAAGTTCATATCAAGGTTGAAGCATATTATCTTTGGTTTTCATACAGTTACTTGGAGGAACGAGGGTATTTAATGAGGATCTTTTGCGAGTATCTAATACCCACGGCTTCAACTAAAGAAAGAGAAAGTATGAAGAGGCTGAGATGGTAGGGTAGTAATGAGCTATTACCCGCAATTCTAATCCTTCACATCTTAAAAACTGAGATGAACGGCGTAGGAACGTCTCATCCGATATTCCCGTTCTTTGTCAACCAATTTGTATTATCTCCTCGCTAAACTTTTGTCCTCGTTACTAGCGCATAATCGTAGAGGTGAAGAGACAAAAACAAAAAAAGGCCAGAAATTCAATATCAAGGAAAGGAAATTGGAAAGAACACAAGAACAAAATCCGGGAGAACAGAAGACCGTTAGAGAAAGTCAAACGTTTTGTATGTAGTACTACGATATTCTGAACAGATGCAGCGAAACATCTAAATGCTCTAGACTTATGAAGTTGCAGGTCACGAATATTCCACGAGCGATGCATTCGACATTATAATCGGTGAGCTCACATGAAAGACGCAGTCTGTTATATCTCCTCGCAATTTGCGGTAGTAATCGTGGTATATAGATTCCGAACGTAGAAGCCTTCCAGATTGGTGATGCACTGATTATTTCTTCTGTGTGACAGATCAGCCATTCTCGGTGCCAAAAGGAAATAACAATACTGTGAAGCAAGAAGGTCAGAAGAGCAGCCGTGAAAGCTTTAGTTAGAAAGAAGAATTTTGAAGTTGTTCATTTGCCAGTATCATTTGTTCTCTAGAATATTCCCAAAGAAGGCCTAACAAAAATCCCAATCATTCTGTCAATATTGAAAATACCAAGCTAATTGAGTTTGAAATGTAACACAAATCATAAATCATTACAAAATAGTGATAACAACTTTCCCATCACCATCCAGTCCGATTTCGGACGACTTGTCTTCCTCGGAAAATTTGCGAAAAGAATTGCACACAGATTTAAAACCCATAGGACAGTGATTCTCAAACAAAACAAATGCACCACAGCGTCTAAATTCCCAATACTTGTGCCCCGTTTGGTATATTATTAGACCGTCCACTCGCACATCCCCATTATCTAAGCGGTTTTTGTAGATCGGAACGAGATATAAACATGCAATTCCCTCAAGCGCTGTTATATCTTTATAGTCCCAAAAGATATACCTATCCTCGAGCAATTGATATACCGCTTGATCACTGTCTATCAAAACCGAAAGTCGTTTGTCTTTACATTCAGCCTGGGAAAGGTTCCCCTTGAGTTTGATATACCCGCCGCATACCTGTCCATATGGGTTGTCGCTTGCGAGATCGACATTTG